GAGACCAATGAAATATCTGGATTTTATGTGTTTTTAGCATGTCTTGAATGACTAGTAATTTACAATAGATCAAAAAGTATATGGAATTTAGAGATTTAAGGGAGAAAGGACAAACTGATTTCTAGGGGAAGCATTGTCTTGTAATTAAAAGTGCTGCTCAAAGTGGCATGTCTTCCTCTACTTTACCTTCATAAGTAATTCTGTGAGAGGGGCTCCACTACAACATCTAATAATCTCATGGCCTAAGTGGAGTTTGAAGTTTCAAACTGGATGTGTCCAACCACAGGCCAACCATTATGCTACTATATAGCACTTACCATTAGCAAACAGCAATTGCACAGCCATTTTCTAAAAAGTTCTGTTGCGAATGCCATTCTAGTTGTCTTCCCATTAGACTAGTTCTTCCTGATTTCATATATATATATATATATATATATATATATATATATATATATATATATATATATATATATATCCTTAATGGTTATAAAAATATGAATCCCGGGCATATTTGTTCAATGATGCAATCTTCGATCTCCGGGAAGAGTATACTCCAGTTATTTATTGTTAAAACAACATTTAAAACAATAAAAACAGTTATATACAAGATTAAAACAGCTTTTGCTGGTCCTCTGCCAGCGTCCTCAGAGTGGGGCTTAGGGGGTGGGAAGTTCTTTTTATCCCCTTGCTGATCCAATTGCCTACTCATTGCCCTCGTGACAGGGCCACCCTTCCTGATTGCCTGTGACTGCCTTAACTGTTCCGCCCTCTCTTTTTTGCACTCTAACATTGTATTTTTCTGCTCCGTCATCCTTGTGCTGTCTCCTCCTCCCTGCGCAGTTATCATTAACACACTCCTCAATCCCTCCTCTCTGCCCAATGCAATATGCCTCCTCCGATTCGGCAATACACGAGTCCTGTTGGGCTGCTGGTCCGCCTGCCGTTTTTGCATTCCATTGCCAGTTCTTATCTCATCTCCTCCTCCAACTCCCTAACCTGCCGATTCATACACCCTTTGTTGTCCATTCCTGTCATCCTTCCCCCCCTTCCTTCAACCCTCCCACCTGTTGATTAACATATTGCTCCTGCCTTTCATCAACCATTCCTATTGATGTTCTCTTCCTCAATGTATATAACCCCCCCAAACACATCTTAGATCTGACCAACCACTGCCTATCCAACACATACTTCATCTATAATGGACAAAAATACAAACAAACAGAAGGAGCACCCATGGGATCACCCCTCTCACCTGTCATTGCCAACCTCTACATGGAACACTTTGAAACCCAAGCTCTAGAAAAATCGGATCACAAACCCAAACTCTGGCTCAGATACGTAGACGACACCTTCATAATCTGGCCACATGGGAAAGAAAAACTGGACAACTTCCTCACACACCTCAACAGCCTACACCCCAAAATACAGTTCACCATGGAAACAGAAACTAACAACCAACTTCCCTTCCTGGATGTCTCAGTCTACAAGAAATCCAATGGCTCCCTAGGACACACCATCTACCAGAAGAAAACACACACAAACCGCTATCTGCACGCTCTCTCACACCACCACCCAGCACAGATCAACTCTGTAGCCAAGACACTCATCTCCAGAACAAAACGCTTAGCTGACGAACAACACCTAAAACCCGAACTACACACTCTCACCAATGTACTAACATCCAATGGATTCCATAGAAATAAGATTACAAACCTAATCCAAAAAGAAACCCCCACTAAAATCCAAGACAAAGAACAAGAAAACGGCAAAGCCTCCTCCCATACATAAAAGGCACCACAGACAGAATCAGTAAGATCCTCCATAAACACAACATCAAAACAGCATTCTGCACAAACAGAAAAATATCCACCATCCTTAGAAATCCCAAAGATAAAATTGAATTAGAAAATCAAGGAGTATACGAAATCCCATGCACCACTTGTCCCACCACATACATTGGACAAACCAACAGAAGAATAAGTGCACGCATTGAAGAACATAAGAACTCAGTCAAAAAAGAGGAACCAACATCTTCCCTGGTCCAACACCTTAAAGCCACAGGACATGAAATTGACTTTAAAAATACCAGAACCATTGCCAAAAGTGAACATTTTAATAACAGAATAATCAGAGAAGCCATCGAGATAGAAAAACGCCCACACAGCATGAACAAGCGAGATGATACCTCCCGCCTACCAGCCATTTGGAAACCCGCCCTTATTGACAAACGACTCCCTAACACAAAAAATGATACCAGACCCACACTCACAAAAACCACACAGGATGTCACCACCACACATCCACGCAAAAAACAAACCCAAAGCCACACCGATGACGAGGCACGACCACAAACCAGAAGCCAGACCACAGCTGCATCATTAGCCACTTTAAACCCCTCCAATCCATACATGAAGCAAACTGACACCCTCCATGAAGAGGAGACACGACCACGAACGCGAAGCCAGAAAATAGCAAGGCAGCCCAAAATCTTAAACCCCTCTGCAACTCAGACTAACCTGAGCACAACCAAACAGAACACTCCCCCAGCCAATCAGAGCACAGCCAAGCCCCTAACCATTCAGAACACACCTCCACCCAATCAGAACACAGCCAAGCTCCCACCCAATCAGTTCATACCCCACTGGCAGTTAAAAGGAATAAACAGCTAAGACCACACATTGCTGCTCAAAGCACGAAGCTGAAAGCACCAGCCTGAAGATGACGAATGGGACTTCGTCGAAACGTCGCCAAGACACTTCCAATTTTACGCGGGAGAAAACCCGAACAACCAAAGACCTACATATATATATATATATATATATATATATATATATATATATATATATATATATATATACAGGAAGTTTTTCAGACAGATGTCTAATTGATTACACCTTGATATTTTTTAACTGCTATACTGCAGTTTTACTTTTTACAATCTCTTTTGCCTTGCAGCTCCCAACTAGGGGCATTAAGCAGGCTCAAGTCGCAACTGTGAAACATTACAAATCCAAATTTCTTTTTCTGACAAAGAATTAAAGAATTAAATTGGGAGACTAAGATGGCCATTTCGAGCTCATTCTGGTCTCTTCAATTAGCCACACCCTTTATGGGATTCAAACCTGGGCAGTTTACATACTAGGCAGTGATTTAACCACCAAGCCACAGGCTCTCCTCCCTCTTTGCCAGCTGTATATGTATATGTATATATATAATTATGAGCTCAGTAACTTAATAGTATCTGTTTCCTTCAAAAGCCAGGCTGTGAATCTCTCAAGCAGTATATTCACAACCTTACAATTGGAAGTTGTCTTCTATGCAAAATTTGTATAGCTTTGGCCCATCCTAGCACATTTCCCATGGTGATCGTTTGGAAATCAATTAAATAAACATTCATTTCAGAAAACAATATGTGTAGACAAGAGCTTGCTCATTGGAGCTAGCTCTTTGATAAGGTCTGCCAGACCAGAAGCCTATTAAACACATATTTTATTAGCTTTAATGCTCCTTAGATGCCTATTATAGAGGTGTATGCTGCAAGATGATTCTGGGAGAGAATTTCTACAGGGAGTGTTAACTGAACTTGAATTCATATTCATTGAGTTGGAAATGGTAATGTAGACCATTGAATCTAACCCTCTGCTCAGTGAATAGATTTCTATTTACCCTATTTGTGTTTAGTAAGTGACAGAGATAGTATAGGTGGTACCTTGCTCAATAGTAGCAACTGTGAGAGAGATCTTGGAGTCCTACTGGACAATCACTTAAATATGAGCTAGCAGTGTGCTGCAGCTGCCAAAAAAGTCAACACAATGCTAGGCTGCATTAACAGAGGGATAGAATCAAGATCACGTGAAGTGTTAATACTACTTTACAACATCTTGGTAAGACCACATTTGGAATACTGCATCCAGTTTTGGTCACCACAATGTAAAAAAAGATATTAAGACAGAGTATAAAGAAGAGCAACAAAGATGATCAGGGGACTGGAGGCTAAAACATATAAGGAACAGTTGGTGGAATTGGGAATGTCTAGTCTAATGAAGAGAAGGATGAGGGGTGACATGATAGCAGTGTTTCAATACCTCAGGGGCTGCCACAAAGAAGAGGGAGTCAAACTATTCTCCAAAGCACCTGAAGGCAGGACAAGAAGCAATGGATGGAAACTAACCAAAGAGAGAAGCAACCTAGAACTAAGGAGAAATTTTCTGACATAGAACAATTAATCAATGGAACAACCTGCCTCCAGAAGATGTGAATGCTCCAACACTGGAGGTTTTTAAGAAGAGACTGGACAGCCATTTGTCTGAAATGGTATAGGGTTTCTGGCCTGAGCAAGGGGTTGGACTAGATGACCTTCAAGATCCCTTCCAACTTTATTATTATTACTATTATTGTTGTTGTTGTTGTTACATGGCTGCAGTTGAGTTTAGTTTGCAGTTTGGTTTGCAAATAGTTCAGTGTCAATCTTCAATGCTGCATTTCTTCAATCTATGTCACAATTTGTTTCCCATGGTGGCAAAAGTCTCAAGAATAATTATAACCAAGGTTGTCTGGATGTAGATATTGTAGTCTAAGACACTCGAACCATACCAGATCAGGGGTCCTGATAGTAATAAAGGACAGCAACATGTTCATTTCTTTAGATCTTCCTTATCAGCATAAGAAAAATGAGGAGGAAAGAATGGAGACATAGATTAACTGGGATATTACTTACTGAATGTCTAAAGAGCATCCTTGTTGGGATAAGATTAACCAGGAATTAACTAGAATTCTTCAGGGAAATAATGCACAAGACATTTAAATTATATCTCTACTCCAAGATTGCAATAATGAAAGATATATAGATTGTTAATAGCCCATACTCACATCTTGTGCATTCAGTGAAAGAACCAATGTGCAAGATCTAATATAGATGCAAATGTCAATTGATCCCTGTGACAAAAGGATTGCTGCAAAGAAGCAGTATGACTGCAGTCTTTCATGCCATTCCCTTACAGGATCCTTAAATCTCCTGGTTCATGTGAAGAATAAGCAACCCACTCAAGCCTTGTCACTCAAAGGCGACAAAGGAAATATGTGGCAGCAAGTACATGTACCCATCAATCCTGCAGGACCTTTCCAGGTAAGCAGATCCTATAATACCTGCTATTATGTCTTTGATTTATTTATACCAAACCTTAAGGCAAAGATGTTGAATGGTGAAATGTGCAACAACACAACTTCAACAAAAACCGAATACCTCTTTCTGGCCTCCGATCATAAAGAAGCTTAGGAGGCATGCCTCTCCCCCCCCCCCAAACTCCATGCTTCATAACAAGACTTAATGTTGTTGTTGTTGTTAATTGCGAAGTCGTGTCTGACCCATCGCGACCCCATGGACAATGTTCCTCCAGGTCTTCCTGTCCTCTACCATCTTCTGGAGTCCATTTAAGTTCACACCTACTGCTTCAGTGACTCCATCCAGCCATCTCATTCTCTGTCGTCCCCTTCTTCTATTGCCCTCAATCTTTCCCAGCATTAGGCCCTTCTCCAGTGAGTCCTTCCTTCTCATTAGGTGGCCAAAGTATTTGAGTTTCAACTTCAGGATCTGGCCTTCTAAAGAGCAGTCGGGGTTGATCTCTTCTAGGACTGACCGGTTTGAACGCCTTGCAGTCCAAGGGACTCGCAGGAGTCTTCTCCAGCACCATAGTTCAAAGGCCTCATTCTTTGGCGCTCAGCCTTTCTTATGGTCCAACTTTCACAGCCATACATTGCAACTGGGAAAACCATGGCCTGGACTATACGCACTTTTGTTGGCAGGGTGATGTCTCTGCTTTTTAGTATGCTGTCTAGATTTGCCATAGCTTTCCTCCCCAGGAGCAAGCGTCTTTTAATTTCTTGGCTGCAGTCCCCATCTGAGGTGATCTTGGAGCCCAGAAAAATAAAATCTGTCACTACCTCCATTTCTTCCCCATCTATTTGCCAGGAATTGAGAGGGCCGGATGCCATGATTTTGGTTTTCTTAATGTTGAGTTTCAAGCCAACTTTTGCACTCTCCTTCTTCACCCGCATCAAGAGGCTCTTTAGTTCCTCTTCACTTTCTGCCATTAGAGTGGTATCATCTGCATATCTTAGGTTGTTGATATTTCTCCCGGCAATCTTAATTCCAACTTTTGATTCATCTAGCCCTGCCTTTCTCATGATGTTCTCTGCATATAAGTTAAATAGGCAGGGCGACAGTATACAGCCTTGCCGGACTCCTTTTCCAATTTTGAACCAATCAGTGGTTCCGTGTCCAGTTCTCACTGTTGCTTCTTGACCCGCATATAGGTTTCTCAAGAGACAAATGAGATGGTCTGGTACTCCCATCTCTTTAAGAACTTGCCACAATTTGTTGTGATCCACACAATCAAAGGCTTTTGCATAGTCAATGAAGCAGAAGTAGATGTTTTTCTGGAACTCCCTAGCTTTCTCCATGATCCAGCGTATGTTGGCAATTTGATCTCTAGTTCCTCTGCCTCTTCGAAATCCTGCCTGTACTTCTGGTAGTTCTCGATCTACATACTGCTGGAGTCTAGCTTGTAGGATTTTAAGCATAACTTTACTAGCATGTGAAATGAGTGCAATGGTGCGATAGTTTGAACATTCTTTGACATTGCCTTTCTTTGGAATTGGAATGTAAACTGACCTTTTCCAATCCTGTGGCCACTGTTGAGTTTTCCAAATTTGCTGGCAAATTGAGTGTAGCACTTTTACTGCATCGTCTTTTAAGATTTTGAATAGCTCAGCTGGAATACTGTCACCTCCACTAGCTTTGTTGTTGCTCAGATTTTCTAAGGCCCATTTCACTTCACATTCTAGGATGTCTGGTTCGAGGTCAGTGACCATCTCATTGTGGTTATCTGGGGTTAAGCTCATTCTTGTATAGTTCTTCTGTGTAGTTTTGCCATCTCTTCTTAATCTCTTCTGCCTCTGTTAGGTCCCTGCCATTTTGGTCCTTTATCATGCCCATCTTTGCATGAAACGTTCCCTTCATATCTCCAATTTTCTTGAAGAGATCTCTGGTCCTCCCTATTCTGTTGTTTTCTTCTATTTCTTTGCACTGTTCATTTAAGAAGGCATTCTTATCTCTTCTAGCTATTCTCTGGAATTCTGCATTCAATTGGGTGTATCTTTCTCTTTCTCCTTTGCCTTTTGCTTCCCTTCTTTCCTCAGCTATTTGCAAAGCTTCCTCAGACAGCCATTTTGCTTTCTTGCATTTCTTTTTCTTTGGATGGTTTTAGTTGCTACCTCTTGTACAATGTTGCGAACTTCCATCCATAGTTCTTCAGGCACTCTGTCTATCAGATCTAATTCCTTAAATCTATTTGTCACCTCTACTGTATATTCATCAGGAATATGATTTAGTTCATACCTGAGTGGCCTAGTGCTTTTCCCTACTTTTTTCAATTTAAGCCTAAATTTTGCAACGAGAAGCTCATGATCTGAGCCACAGTCAGCTCCTGGTCTTGTTTTTACTGACTGTATAGAGCTTCTCCATCTTTGGCTGCAGAGCACATAGTCAATCTGATTTCTATGTTGACCGTCTGGTGATGTCCATGTGTAGAGCCGTCTCTTGGGTTGTTGGAAAAGAGTGTTTGTTATGACCATCGTATTCTCTTGACAAAATTCTATTAGCCTGTGCCCTGCTTCATTTTGTACTCCAAGGCCAAACTTGCCTGTTATTCGGTTATCTTTTGGCTTCCTACCTTAGCATTCCAATCCCCTATGATGATAAGGACATCATTTTTTGGTGTTAATTCTATAAGGTGCTGTAGGGCTTCATAGAACCGGTCAATTTCATCCTCTTCAGCACCAGTGGTTGGGGCATAGATTTGGATTATTGTGATATTGAATGGTTTGCCTTGGATTCGAATTGAGATCATTCTGTCATTTTGGGGATTGTATCCCAGTATTGCTTTTCCTATTCTTTTATTGACTATGAAGGCTACTCCATTTCTTCTGAGGGATTCTTGCCCACAGTAGTATACCTGATGGTCATCTGAGTTAAATTCACCCATTCCTGTCCATTTTAGTTCGCTGATTCCTAAGATGTCGATGTTCAGTCTTGTCATCTCTTTTTTGACTACGTCTAGCTTGCCTTGATTCATGGATCTTACATTCCAGGTTCCTATGGAGAAAAAATCTTTACAGCATCGGACTTTCCTTTCACCACCAGATATATCCACAGCTGAGCGTCCTTTCGGCTTTGGCCCAGTCGCTTCATTCTTTCTGGCGCTACTAGTACTAGCCCTCTGCTCTTCCCCAGTAGCATATTGGACACCTTCCGACCTGAGGGGCTCATCTTCCAGCGTCATATCTTTTTGCCTTTTAGTACTGTCCATGGGGTTTTCATGGCAAAGATACTGGAGTGGTTTGCCATTTCCTTCTCCAGTGGATCACATTTTGTCAGAACTCTCTACTATGACCTGTCCGTCTTGGGTGGCCCTACACGGCATAGCTTATAGCTTCATTGAGTTACACAAGCCCCTTCGCCATGACAAGGCAGTAATCCATAAAGGGGACAAGACTTAATACATCAGCATTAAGGCTACACCCAGTTTCCCATATTAGAACTCACGCAACGATGACAAAGTCCAAGTAGCTGTTCAAGCCACATATTAATGCTGAACAAGACTTAATACATCAGCATTAACATGTGGCTTTTAGTACTGTCCATGGGGTTTTCATGGCAAAGATACTGGAGTGGTTTGCCATTTCCTTCTCCAGTGGATCACATTTTGTCAGAACTCTCTGCTATAACCTGTCCATCTTGGGTGGCCCTGCACGGCATAGCTTATAGCTTCATTGAGTTACGCAAGCCCCTTCGCCACGACAAGGCAGTAATCCATAAAGGGGGCAGTAATCCATAAAGGCTGAGCACAAAAGAATTGAGGCCTTTGAACTATGGTGCTGGAGAAGACTCCTGCGAGTCCCTTGGACTGCAAGGCATTCAAACCGGTCAGTCCTAGAAGAGATCAACCCCGACTGCTCTTTAGAAGGCCAGATCCTGAAGTTGAAACTCAAGTACTTTGGCCACCTAATGAGAAGGAAGGATTCACTGGAGAAGAGCCTAATGCTGGGAAAGATTGAGGGCAATAGAAGAAGGGGACGACAGAGAATGAGATGGCTGGATGGAGTCACTGAAGCAGTAGGTGTGAATTTAAATGGACTCCAGAAGATGGTAGAGGACAGGAAGACCTGAAGGAATGTTGTCCATGGGGTCGCGATGGGTCGGACACGACTTCGCAATTAACAACAACAACAACATGTGGCTTGAACAGCTACTTGGACTTTGTCATCGTTGCATGAGTTCTAATATGGGAAACTGGGTGTAGCTGCTACTTCCTTGTGGTAGTATGGGCTATGTGGCTAGGAGTTCCTGGTGCAAATCATGGCCCAGTCAGAAAGTTCACATTATAATCTCCCACCTGCTCAATAGGAGAGCACTACAGTATTTCTGCTTTCATGTGAGAAAAAAGATATGGGAAAGGCTGTATCGAAGTGGTACAGTTGTTATGCATGAAGAAGTCATGAGTGCAATTCTTAACTAGATACATAGATATAGAAATAGAGTTCATATCTGGAACTCTAGTGAGCCATTGGCTGTGCAGAGCTAGATTTCATAAGGATAAAGCAGCTTCCTACCATGACCTCTTATGGTAATGAAAAACATACAAGTGATCCTGGTACCAGAGTATTTCTATAAGAATGTTCTTGACTTGAGGCTCAGCTGGTGGGAATGTATGCAAGGATGATGCGGTGCTTATTGTTAAGATGACCACCACTCAGCTGCAAGTGTCTCTGCTCTAATAAACAGCAGCTGGTTACATGAGGAAACTTGCAACACAGTGATGCCATGTTTTATAACCATATTACTAGACATTTTCAGAAATGAAAAATGTGAAGGAAACTCAGAACTATTACTTCTGATTCATTGCAATGTCATGTGTCAGCTGTGGAATCATCCAGGGTAGCAAATCTCTTCTAATGTACGCAGTGTTATCTGTTAAATAGAAATGTTCAGATCCATACTGTGTTTCTGTCAATGCTACTGTATAAACAGTCTTGAAAAATGTGATGTCCTATGTGCCATTTATTTGT